GAGTCAGAGTCAGAGTCAGAGATTTGGAGTGCGTGCGCTGGGCTCTGGGTGTGTACGAAATGTTTAAATTAAGCTGGATATCAAGTGCACCAGATCACTAATTACCAGCGCCAGCCCAAGCCACAAAGTGCAAGAAGAAGAGGAGGCAGAGGAGGAAGGGCGGCAGAGCAAAGCCAAAGCAAAGTCAACTCCTCCTGCGCTCGGACATCGTGTGAGCCAAGCGCCGCTGCATGGAGTAAAGTTTACTTCATCTTCTTCTTCTTCTTCTTGTTTTTTCTCTCTCGTTGGCCATCCAAAATCAATAAAGATCGTTCCCAGATTGCGGTCCGGTGTTTGCTTAACTTGCGGCTGCCCTTAAATGGGTTAATGCCAGTTCCCCTGGCCGTTTGGCTGTGAAACAATGGAACTGACCGTTACTTGATAGCTTTTGATGGCATTCAAATGCACTAACTCAATTTGATGTGCGTGTGCGTGTGCGTGTGCGTGCATATGTGTGTGTGTGCGTGTGATATCTCAAGCAGCGATAGCCCGACTGTAAAGCAGCTTAAGCTATTACATGGAATTGACAAGAGTTTGCTTTAATGACAGAACTTTTATGGATTTCATTTAAGCGATATCTAAATGTAATTCTAATAAGTTTATATCGAGCTATTTACACTCGAGATTATGAATCTTAATTGCAGGTTAAAGACAGTCTGACTAGCATTGAGATCGGTTTTATACATATGTATATTCATTCTGCCTCAATGGCAATTATGCATATTATATAACAATTGCTTCCTGCATTGTCTGGCTGACACTTGCTTGGCATTAACTTGAGTTTTATCTTAATAATACGATCTCGCCTCTTCAGCACACACACTTACACACACACACACACTCAGTCTCTGCTGGCAGCTGTCTACAAAAAGATATGACATACCATGCATATACTTAGTTTGTTTTGACCATTTGTCCGACAGCGTAACACGCCCCAAACATGGCATATGGAAACTGTATAGACAGACCTTACGGCCATTGCCATAGCCGATAGGAAGCTATGGACAGTAATTAAGGTCGCTACCGGACACAACGGCGAACGGAATGTGGCGAAGCCAAGCTATGGACCCAATCATGTTTTGCATAATTTCTCATTAAAAACATGTTTCCATTATCGTCTGTCAATAATTTTTTCGTACGCTGTCCGTTTCAAATGCAAATTCTGAACGGCAATTGATTGGATGATGCATTAGAAGAGCTGCGCGCCAAGCGCAATTAAATATATAATTTATAATAAGCACACGCTCCCCAACTAACTATCGACTGGCAAGAGTTGCTGCTGCTGCCGCTGCACTATTTTTAAAGATGTGCTCATAACTCCACCCTGCATGCCCCGCCCAGACCAACTGGCCTATAACGTGTATATATATATATACGGATAGATAGCTCCGTCTCCCGGTCGTAACTCTATTAATAATGCATCTCTCATGGCGCATACATAATAAAGCATCTTAAAGCGTTTAAATGCCTCTCAACGCTCCAAAGGTTGGAGTTGAGGCCCAGCGTTTCGCCGTCTGGCGCCAATGGGCCACGTAATATGATCGGACCCGCTTCTTTTCGATTTTCTGCCTCTTCCAATACATTTATTTTGTCTCAGTGCATTTTTGGCGCCTGCATTTTGACAGTCAATAAAATTTTGAAATGTTATACTTTTCATTTTCATTTTGGTTTTT